AATCATAATATTAAAGAATTAAAATAAGAGATAAAAATTATAGAGGGTAAAATAGGCATTTTAAGAAGCCACATTTGATATGTGTAGAAGGATGATAATTGTTCAAAGTTGGAGGATGAGTTTGATTTTTAAAAGCAAACTTCGAGAATATAAATGATTTTCACCCAATGACATAAGATTTTTAATACATAGGCTTTTTTGAGAAAAAATGATCAAATTTGCTCTTATACAATGCAAAGTGGTCAAGATTTTCCACGAATTATGCAAATTGGTCCAGATTATTATCAAAATTTGGATTTCATCATAAACAAAGACATTTATTATCAATTATTATATTTAACTTTCAGCGGCCTAATATATATATATATATATATATATAAAGGAGGAAATGAAAAAGGTGACTTGACACCTCTCTTTGGCCAAGGAACCTATTTATCTTTTTCCTCCTTTTTTTGATATTTCCCTATTTATGTTGTAAAAATTATAAGTTTAACAATTATTACTCCAAACGTTTCATAGGCACCTATTCATCAATTGATACTAGGAACTAAAGCACCTATTCATGAACGAATTCTATTCATATTCCCCACTAATGGTACCTAACACTCTCATTTATGACCCAAAAAAATAATACTCTAGTAAAGAGAGTCTTATATCTTTGGGACATATGAATATTCCTCACTTTAGTTCCGTTTTTTAGTTCTATATTATGAATATGGCAATACGTTATGTCACACCATCCCCTCTTTGTTCAATTTGCTAACTCTATCGTTTGGATAAGAATTTTCTAGGAATCCATACCGTTAGGCTCTTCAAGTTTTCTGAGTAATTTCTTTAAAACAAATTCAAGTTCATTTCACAAATAAGGTTGAATAACAACTTTGCTGTAGTAGTATATACAAGAACCAAATTAACACTTATTTATTTTTGAAAATTTATATCATATAAGTCGTGATATCATTTTATTAATAAAATACTATAAGATATCGTCCAATTTAGATGAATGACATTGTTCATTTAATTACCTAATTTTCTTTCCATACATCATAAGTATCAAGTAATGAAAAACAATTACATGCTGCAAATAAATAATATATAAGTTATTGTGCTTGACATGTATATAAAAATAGAGAAAACTAGCACTCGAACATTTTGGAAAGAACAATTAACGTAACCTCGAGAAGGTATGTATTTCTAATATAAATATTTATATTTGTGGTTTGTCTGTATTTCATATTCTTATACATAACTTTTTTAATCTCTTCTATTTCAACTAAACTAATGAAAAAAATAATTTTGTGTATTCATTATTTATTTTTTTGACCGCGCAAAGCGCGGATATATTCTCTAGTTAACACATAAATGCATATGCAGAAACAGTTGCAACTATGTCATATACCCATACCAAATTCGAGCCAAAGGCAAAAGAAAAGCTAAATCCAAAAACCCAACCCTTTTTATCCCTTTTCTTTTAATTTTAAAGTTATCATAATTTTATCCATCCTAATTCATATCTAATATATTAAAATGTACATATAGCTGGATATGCTTGAAGCAGAAGCGAAGTGCTCTATCAACAAACATATTACCGTCAATATTCTGATAAGCACAGTAGTACTAGTGCATACTACATATAGGCCCTCTTTTTGGTCCCATCAATAATAATAATAATAATAACAACAAAGTGAAAATTAATTATTACAACAACAATAATAAATATAATAAAGCTAATTATTATTATTATTATAAATAAATTAAGGCATGAATGAATGAACGAATGAATTGCCAGAATGACGGGAAAATTTAAAGTCGCAAAAAAAAAAAAACACTATTCTCTACAATTGTTATGTTAATATGTAGTAGCAATTAGTTACACTATATAGGAAATTAGACTACTTTACAATTTGGTTGATAGTCTGTAACCTTTTTCCGATGTTCCAGTTTGTAATTTTCTCATTGCAGGTATTAAATTTAATATAATGAGAATTAGTAAAATATTAAAACGTGTTTAAAGAATATTTCAAGTGAAATAATGATCTACATTCATAATATATTAACTTTTGATTGAAAATGAAACTCATATCCAGCACAATAGCGTGATCGTTTATAAAAGGAATTTTTATATTCCTATACACTACTTCAATTTTTATTACCCCCTCCCCCTACTCAAGTTTTAATATAATTATATATTATATACCCAATTATTAATTATGTACATTTTTAGGCATTTAATGATAATAATTAGTGTCCTAAAATCACTCAAACGTATCTTCCACCCCCCCCCCCCACGTATCTTGCACTCACCCATGTTTCTCTCTCCACAAATTTCAGTATCTCTCCATTAACGCCTATTTCCACTCTTCTTCAAAAATCAGTCTATATTTTTTCACTCTTTTTCAAAAATTTCTCTCCATTTTTATAGATTCAAGCTCTAAATACTCTACCACACACCTCCATTAACGTCTGTTGCTTGCTTAGCTTTCAATGAAGAAGAAAACACTTTCGAAGACCAGCCCTAATTCCAGTAAGAGAGCAGCAATTCCACCATTGACAACCATTAAAAAGCTTTGAAGCTTTGAATTCGAATTTGGGTTTTCAAAAACCATTATTTGTTTGGATTGAGTGTTATTGCAAATAATTGAGAATATTGTTTGGAGTTTATATCTCATTTTTTAGGGTATTTTGGTGAAGATTAGACTTGATTTTGGCCGAATTTCAGATTGAAACTCGAAGAAGAAGAAGAAGAAGAAGAAGAAGAAGAAGAAGAAGAAGACATGACATACATTATACTTACGAAATTGTAGTAAAGTTGTAGAAAAATTATATTTTGTTGTTTATATATATTTTTTTATTTAAATAGTGTATGAAAGTTGAATAATATTGTATAAAAATTATATTTAAGTTGTATGATATTATAGTTGTATATAACTGGGTAGATATAACGTATGAAGGTTGTAGATAAGTTGTATAATATATAATTAGTTGCATGAAATTTATTTTTACTATGTATAAATTAGATACAAAATATACAAAAGACATATTGTATAAAATTTGTATAAAAAATATATTTTAGTTGTATGATATTATAGTTGTATTTAACTATGTAAAAATAATGTATGAAAGTTGTAGATAAGTTATAGATTAGTTGTGCTTTTAAGCTCTTTGCCTAAACGTGTTAAAACTGTTTAAAATATTACTTAATTTCATGAAATACCTTGCAACTTAATTCAGATCGACTTCTCATAAACTTACCTATCTTCAGCATTACATGCCAGAAGGATTCCATCTTATTTTGCAGGAAAAAGTATAACCATTGTTGAGTATGATTTGTAGAATAATGCCCTCCAGATATATTCTATCCAACTAGGTTTGTCCTATTAATTATTACTCCTACTTAAAGAAAGTGAAAAGCATATGATATAATTTTTTGGAAATGGGTGCCCTTCTGATTTTGTATTTTGAACAGCAACTTCAACAAGTTCTTAATTGGATAATAATTAAATAGACTTGATGGACAGGAAATAGAGTCTGATCCCCTTTTAAGGATTTAAATTAGAATTTTAATTTTATCCTAAATCCTGATAAAAAAACTTGTAAAAAGTTGTCCCCAAATATTAACCTAATCTTCCTTAATTATAGAGGAATTCTTACTAAATTCCAATGTAAAACTGAAGGGTTAAAAAGAAGAAGAAGAAAAAGGATTAGAAGAAATAACACAAAATTGTAAGTACTATTAAGACATGGTTACGTGATCAACCAGATGAAAGAGTTGTCCACTGACCCGATCACTAAATTCCTACAAGGGTGGAAGATCTGGAGAGAAAAGAGGAAAGATGAGAGAAAAAAGGAAAAAGGTATAACTAAATCCCTTGATTGAAGACACTAATATTGGATTGAGAGCCTTTTAAGGTGGAATGTATATATTTTATAAACAAAACTTGTTTAGGTTCGGTAATTAACTAAACATGGATATTTTTTATAATAAAGTTTCAAATAGTGTATATAAAGGTAAAATTCCCTTTATAAAATCAAGTATTAATGTTGGGCTTTCAGAATACTCAGCATCCGACCCAAAAAAAAAAAGCACGAGACGTGGCCCAATTATTTATATCCTTATAACACTTAGCATTAGTAGCTCTTTGTAATAGTTAGCCCATTCATTTTTTCATTTCATCGTGTATATCTCTAACATGAAAGTTCTAGAACCCCTAATCCTCCATTAACAAACCTTCAATTCTGGTCGATTCTTTCACTGTTAACAAGGTATCAGAGCGTTGAATCCGTTTTGTCCTCATCTTCATCTATCGAGTGTTACCCCCCATCCGATTTCGTCAAGTTTCCACTTTTGCTGAAATTTTGTAGGTTTTTTTTCTGATTTCCGGTCAATGATGCATTTTTTTTGGATTCGTCTGTATTTTCTCATCATTGACAGTGCTACAATTCTGGTTTACTCCTAAATTTCTGGTGTTCATCGAAGTTCTTCTCCTAAATGATGGTTCGACCTAGCGTTTTTTTTCGAAACTGTTCGGAGCTTCATCCGAGATATTATCTACATATCCAGGCCTTTACTTCTTCAGGTCCGAAGAAGGCTGGTATTCCTATCTCTTATCCGTATTCTTACATGAGAATTGTCAGTTCGCATTTTGTGGCTTTATCTACTAATAATTGTTGTCAATCGTTCACTGGGTTAAAGTTTCTTCTTTGAATTGCTGTGTGACTATACTGTGCTTGTTATGACTGGTACTACTGATTCATCTATCAGCGTTGGTAGATCTTCCAAGTATACTCCTGACCCTTCTTCCCCTCTATTCCTTCTTTCGTTTAATGTTCCCGGAGTGTCTTTGGTATATGTCCCTTTTTCAGGGACTGGATTTGGAGGTTGGAGACGTAGTATGATAGTATCCCTGTCTACTAGAAATAAGATAGGGTTTATTGATGGGTCATGTGTCAAACCTGATGCAAATTCACCTGAGTATAAACAATGAGATATATGTAATAACATGGTTATATCATGGCTGATTAGTTCATTATCTCCTGATATAGCTGAAAGCGTCCAACATTCTAAAACATCTGAAAGTATTTGGAAACAATTAAATAGTAGATATGGGAGTGTAAATGGGACCAAAGTGTTTAAATTAAAGAGAGAACTTACTTCTACTTACCAAGGTTCTCTAGACATTGCCTCATATTTTAACAAACTTAAGAAGATATGGGATGAACCGGGGATAATGTGCAGCAGCCATGCAAACTCCTGCATTTGTGCAGCTAAAGAGGATCTTCAAAAGGAGAAAGAAGAGGACAAAGTCCACCAATTTCTTATGGGCCTGAATGAGGTATATGTGGGTGTTAGAAGCAATTTGCTAATGATGCAACCATTACCATCTCTGGATAATGTCTACAATATCCTTCTCCAAGATGAAAAACAGAGGAAAATTAATCCAACTCTTCTATTTGTCTGTGAATCAGCCTCTTTTAATGTCAATTCTGGTGCAAACAAACCTGTTCAGCCTCTTCCACCTGTAATAAAGCTGCTATGAATACAACTGATATTGTCTGGCATTATATACTTGCTCATATTCCTTTTGCTAAAATGAAATGCATTCCTGAAATTTCTTCTGTTATCTCATCTACACAATCATTTCCATGCCTCATTTGCCCAATGACTAGGCAAACTAGGCTACCATTTCCTGATAGTTTAATTCATAGTTCTAAACCTTTTCAACTTATACATGTTAATACTTGAGGGCCATACCACACTCCTACTTTCTCTGGTTCTAAATACTTTCTTACCATTGTTGATAGTTTTTCTAGAAGTACATGGACTCATTTAATGGGTTCTAAAAGTAATATTTTTCCTCTTTTGAAAGCTTTTGTCAGAATGGTTCAAACTCAGTTTCATGTCACCATCCAGAAAATAAGATCTGACAATGCCTTAGAATTGGGAGCTAGTAAAGCTGCTACTACTTTTTTCTCTGACCAAGGAATTATTCATCAAACTAGTTGCCCACACACACCTCAACAAAATGGTGTGGTAGAAAGAAAGCATAGAATCCTTTTTGAGACTTCTACAGTATTACTCTTTCAATCAAAAGTTCCAATAAGATTCTGGGGTGATTGTTTACTCACAGCTACATACATTATCAACAGGCTTCCATCTCCCTTACTTCACAACAAATCCTCTTATGAATTGTTGTTCGAAAAAGCACCAAGTTATTCTCATTTAAGAACCTTTGGATGTCTTTGCTCTGCTACTGTACCAATACCACATAGGGATAAACTAAAACCTAGAGCCATTCCTTGTATGTTTCTTGGTTATCCCTTTGCTAAGAAAGGTTATAAACTGTATAATCTATACTCTAGGCAATACTTTGTTTCTAGAGATGTCATTTTTCATGAGCATCATTTTCCTTTTTCTCTTGATTTTTCCTTTCATGATATCTCTGCATCTTTCCCACCTGCCTCCCCACAACCAATTAATTCTCCTGTTTCCTTCTCCTATGATGAGTACCCTCATGTTTCCTCTTCTCTTCCCTTTGAAGATCCTGGCTCTTCCTGCCTCCTTACCAGCTTCCAGCCAAAGTGAACCTCTTCCTTCTCCTTCCAATTCCAATTCTTTTTCTCCACTTGTTCTATCCTCACTTTCTCCTACACTTCCTTCTCCTTTCAACCCTGATTTTCCCCCTACTCCTTCTGCCTCTTCTCCTTCCTTACCCATCAGAAAGTCTATTAGACTTCATACCCAACCTTCCTATCTTAAAGATTATATCTATCAATTTCCCAATTCCTTTTCTGGTTCTATTACTCAGCAAGTAGATTTTGAACCTTATACATATTCTTAAGCTGCTCCTATTCTAGCTTGGAAGGATGCCATGACTAAAGAATTTGAGGCTTTAGAGGCTAATCATACTTGAGATATTATTGAACTACCTAAGAGTAAGAAACCTATTGGATGCAAGTGGGTTTATAAACTTAAATATAAGGCTAATGGTAATGTGGAATGATACAAGGCAAGGCTTATGATTAGGGGAGACACACAGGTTGAAGGGGTTGATTTAATGAGACCTTTTCTCCTGCGGTGAAACTTTTCACTGTTAAATACTTAATTGCAGTTGCTGTTAAAAAAAAATGGCCATTGTTTCAACTTGATGTCAACAATGCATTTCTTCATGGTAATTTAGATGAAGAGGTTTATATGAAATTACCCCCTGGCCTCTTTGTTTCTCCTTCTTATTCTTCTGTTCCTTTAGTTTGCAAGTTAAAAATATCTCTTTATGGTTTGAGACAAGCTTCTAGGCAATGGTATGTCAAGTTGTCTCAAGCCCTTTATTGTAGGAGTTATCATCATTCCCCTAATGACTATTCTCTGTTCATCAAAGGGTCTCCTGGTCATTTGATAATACTGGTAGTATATGTTGATGATATTATTGTTACAGGTGATGATTTGTCTGAAATTTTAGTTCTGAAGCAATTTCTAGACAATGAGTTCAAAATCAAAGATTTAGGTTCTTTGCATTATTTTTTGGGAATTGAAGTTTTTGTTCTTCCTTCTTGTCTTCTTTTAAATCAAAAGAAGTTTGTCATTGATCTTCTAAAGGAGTATGATTGTTTGGAGGTTAATTCTGTTGTCAGCCCCTTGGAGTTGAACCAAAAACTCAAAGCGGATGTTGACACTCTTTTGCTCAATCCTGAGAGATATGTAAGTCTTATTGGGAAGCTATTGTTTCTCACTCACACTCGTCCAGATATTTTCTTTTGAGTTTAACATTTAAGTCAATTCTTACACACTCCTAGAGTTTCACACATACCGGCACCTCTTCATCTTCTCAGGTATCTCAAGGGCACTGTTGATATTGGGCTTTTTTTATTCTAACTCTTCTGATTTCTCTGTGAAGGCCTACTCAGACAGTGATTGGGCTGCATGCCCTAATACTCGCAAATCTGTTACTAGCTTTTGCATTTTCCTGGGTGACAGTCTTATAGGTTGGAAATCCAAGAAGCAACATGTGGTGTCATTGTCTTCAGCTGAAGCTGAATATCGCGCACTAAGCAAGGTCGTGGCAGAGTTATGTTGGTTATCTAGGTTGTTGGCTGATCTTGATGTCTCATCTTCTTCTCCCATTTCTGTCTTCTGTGATAATATGGCGGCTATTCATATTGTCAAGAATCCAGTCTTTCATGAGTGCATTAAACACATCGAGATCGACTGTCATTTCATTCGCACCAAGCTGGCTGAAGGTCTCATTCAACTGTTCCATGTCTCCACTACTAATTAGCTTGCAGTTTTGTTCACTAAGTCACTACCTGGAGCTACTCATCAGTTCTTTTGGGCAAGTTGAAGGTGGTCTCCCCTCCAACTTGAAGGGGGGTGTTGGGCTTTTAGAATACTCAACATCCGGCCCAAAAAAAAAAGCACGAGACATGGCCTAATTGTTTATATCCTTATAACACTTAGCATTAGTAGCTCTTTGTAATAGTTAGCCTATTTATTTTTTTATTTCATTGTGTAAATCTCTAACAGGAAAGTTCTAGAACCCCTAATCCTCCATTAACAAACCTTCAATTCTGGTTGATTCTTTCACTGTTAACAATTAACACTCTTGAAAAACTTTCAGGGACCTAACATTATTTTAAAAGTTAGAATAAACATAAATTGGAGAATTTATTCTAACTTTTAAAACCTCGTCACTCTGTAAAAAAAATCCTTTTTACTGAAAATTGAAATTGAAATTAAAAAATAATAAGTGCTCCTACTAATATCTTTTCTATGTTCGGATAACATGGGAACAAGTACCAAGTAAATTTCATGAAAGAATAACAAGATCCATTTGCTCATATCATTCAGAGTGCAAAGAGAGACCCCTTAGTTGGTGTACATGGGTGTTGATTTTTGTAAAAAACTAAAAATCAGTTGACTTTATGTGCCGAGGCTATTGTACCTATTTTAGGTCCTATATTTTTTAAGAGTCTGTAATTCTATTAAAGATTTTTATGAAAAGAGTCTGTAATTCTATTAAAGATTTTTATGAAAATAGAAAATATAAAGAACTTATAGTATATTTAATTTTATTTGATATAATGTAGGTATAAGATAAATTTAAACGGAGAACCATGAACAATAAAAATTTACCTAGCGTAAATCCCAATTTATCTGGGATTAAGGCGTAAGAATTGATAAGTGCTGATGTGAATATATGCCTATTTTCATCAAAATTCACGTTAATTCACCACCTTCACTTATACCTAAGCATAAAGGTTTTCGCAAAGCAAAAAGTTCAAGTAATGATAAATAGAATAATTTTTTTATGTAATGATGCTGTGAGCATTTATATAATGGCTTTGGTAGAAAAGGTAGAGATAAGTAAAGGAATCTTCTGATAGCAAAAAGAAAATCTTATTTTCCTCATTAGGAGTACTTTAAATTATATTATTCCAGTATACCATGGGAAAGGGAAAAGGAATAAGACTTGAATATAGATACGCATGTTGTTTGGCTAAGAATTAGTCTAGGACGGACAGAGCGACATGAGAAATTATCCAACGAATAAACATTTCAGCCACTTCAATAATTTAATGTTTGAAACTAAACCTTTTTTCTTTAAGATTTATAACATATCTTGCTTTTAAGTTTTTTTCTTTTTTGGCTTCACCTCTTCAAGCAAAGCGGATCTAGGATTTTTATAATATGAGTGCACTAATAAAAAAAGGAAAAAATAAAAATATTAAGTAAGAATTGATCCTTATTTCTCTAGGTAAATAAATTAGCATTCAACCAAGTGTATCATTTAGCTTTTTTGGAGCATGGATGTCGGTAGGTAATATTTGATCAATTCTAAAATATATTTACATAAAATACTTAGTTTGGCGGAGAGACCATGAGTTCACGTATCCCGTACACTAGGCTATAGATCCGCCCATGATAAAACCCATAGCATGTGACCTGATGCCGTGATACGCATTCAGGATTTAAAGTTTATAGGACCTGATAAATTAGGCTATGAGTTCACGTATCCCGTACACTAGGCTATAGATCCGCCCATGATAAAACCCATAGCATGTAATCTGATGCCGTGATACGCATTCGGGATTTAAAGTTTATAGGACCTGATGAGTTATATATACAATAATAATTGAATTTATAATTAAATATTTATAAATATTTGGCTAAATTTTTAATACAAATAGGAAGTTTAGACACGTAAAAGCAAACATATAAGTTTAAGGCTAGATCAGCCATGTGACATGCAATGAAAGCGAGGCACTATGTGTTCCCTCAATTCTCAAACCCAAAGAAGCAAGCCAATAGATTTGTTGGTTGAAACCGAATCCACATTGCTCAACGTACAATGTATATTCAAATGTGTACTGGATATAATCGTACATCAGACTAGCTCGGGGATGAAGAACATAACATAAAACTATAAATAAAATAGAAAAGAGAAGTTGAAGTTCTAAAAACTTGTACTACTATCTTTTGTTATTGCATCTTATAAACTTCATTTTTGGGCTAAGAATTATAACATGAAAAAAATAGTGTTTG